CCAACTTAACTGTGGTCACATACTCAGGTGTTGAATGTCCCAACCAAACTGTGGTCACATGCTCAGGTGTTGAATGTCCCAAGTACACAGTGGTCACATACTCAGGTGTTGAATGCCCCAGCTAAACTGTGGTCACATACTCAGGTGTTGAATTTACCAACTAAACTGTGGTCATATACTCAGGTGTTGAATGTCCCAACTAAACTGTGGTCACATACTCAGGTGTTGAATGTCCCAACCAAACTGTGGTCACATACTCAGGTGTTGAATGTCCTAGCTAAACTGTGGTCACATACTCAGGTGTTGGATGTCCCAGCCAAACTATGGTCACATACTCGATCTGGTGTTAAATGTCCCAACTAAACAAGCTAAACCGTATTCTTGAATTAACAAGAATTTTGTTTCTTTACATTTTATGAAAGAAATGGATTGGTAATGGAAGGTTAAATTGTAATCTTATTGTCATATTGTTTTTATTTCCTATGAAACTGAATCACCATACAGCCTATTATTCTAATTAACACAAATTCTGTTCAGATGTTACATGCTGATGTTGTGATAAATTAAATTATGTAAATTGATAATAGCCTTAATTCATTTTTTTAAATCATTGTCATATTTGGATATTGATGGTTTCTTGCATTGCTTGATTAAATGTCCATGTGAAAACACACAGCCATATGCTACATGGTCAAAAATAATGTTTTTCTTTAACAAACAGAACAGCACTGATAATGAGATTTAGGCTATGATGACAAGAAAACTCATTAACAGTGCTGTTCTATACTTTAAATAAAATACAACAATAGTGTTTATTTTTCATTTCATTCATTATTTCAGACTTTTGAGAAAACAACTGACAATAGGCCAATTTTAATGGTGAGATTGTTTGTTTAGTGTGAAAATAACCGTTTGACTTGAAAATACGTTTTTGAATGAAGGTTCATGTCATGCATATACAGATCAATGATGATCAATGAGAATAAAATCAAGAAAACTGAACAGGACAAAGAAAACAACTGGTTACAACGTGGCGTTGCATGTAACAGCATTACATAGTAAGCTTATCCCACAGGCTTCAAAAAGGGACACCAGTTTAGACCCTCGTGTTGTATCAACGTCTTCTCGCGAGGGATTAACCGACTGCACACCAGTTAATGCAATGCTTGTATGCAGAGTGAACGAACCGATGAAATATCAAAATAGTCTTGACATGAAATAGCAACTGACCATATAACTAAGACGTACTCACATTCCTATTTCGTGCATGTTTGATTCTGATATGCTTTCATAAATACGAGTGTACGACTCAATCGTATGTACCTGCATTTTCGCATGTGTACTACTAATGTTGTATTTTCCTTGTGGTAGTGCAACGAAGATATCCGCTTCCTCGCGACTGCTTACATTCAAATGAGCCTAAAACACTTACCCTTTCTGAAAGCCTTGAAGCGTTTTGACTGTTTGGTGCAGGCTCTTGTCTAAATAGTCCGGTCCGAATTAATGCGTATAATGGTCGAAGCGCTCGTAGTAACATACTTTGCCGTGGGCATTCATGCGAATGGCACGTGCTCAATGTAAGACCTTCTCTGATTGGTCCAAGCTGGACTTACCCATTTCTCGGGGTTGTTTATATGTTTTACACAACATCGTGTATTCCATGCGGTGCATGCTTATCAGATAACTGTACATACGTGAACGCATATTTAAGGGCTTTTTTCGCCTCCATTTGTATTGCACATGAAAAGAAACAGAGACACTCGTGACGTCTATTAAGAATGGTGTTAAAGTACCAATCACTGCTGGTAGTGAATCGAATATGAGGGTCTGAACGTACGGGCTTGTGTTCACTTATTTTATGGAGATCGGGGGGGGGGGGGGGGCGGGCGGGGGGGGGGGGGGGGGGTTTACTTTTTCAGAACAATCCATTTTTTTTTTACAGCTGTAACCAACAAACTATTTTTTTACTGAGCACCACCAACATCTATTCATTATCGCTTTGAACACAAAATTGTTGACGTTTGAGTATTTTCCACAAAACGAACTACTCATTTCTGACACCACTGCCAACAAACTATCCATTTTTTGACATATGCATGAACGAACTTTTTATTCTAAAAATCTCACAACAACCCCAACCAGTGAAATTAAGACACACGGGCAGGCCAGGTGGAAAATAACAACTGTAATACTGACTTGATAAGATTTCATTCAGCTGCGCACATGACGGAATTTACGCTGCGCCGCATTGAACTTTGGCCCCGCGTGAGGGAAATCCCCGATTACCCCTTGTCCGTCTCCAGACCCTTGAGAAATAATTTAAAAAGGAGTCCAACTCGAGTCTAGAATGACTTGGCAAGTCTAGATTGCCTAAGCTCTGACATTCATGATTGTTCTAGGCTCCATTTGGATTTTTATATTGTTGTTATATGTAATTCACTGGACAGTGAAAGCAGAGACCATGTAATAGATTATATGGTCTCTGGTGAAAGCAAACCGTTAGTCTGTCTTACAGACCGTGATACAAATATATATCAAAATACAGCCCATGCAAGTCTATAATGTTTGGCAAGTCAAGATTACTGAAGTATCTGAAAATGAAGAGAGTCCCTGGGCTCCCTTTTATTATATTTTTATTAAGATAACTGAACAACTGTTTTTTTCTGTACGAAATGTTCATTTCAGAGACTAGATGTTAGTCTAGCAAACCGTCCGTGGGACCCTGACTTCCACAACAAATAGCCAGGTGAAGACTGATACAAATCATTGGACCACCGCCAGCTGCAAGCTTTGCAGTGTATTATTCAGTGTGCATCTTTTATCATGAGTGTGGCTGTTTCTGAATAATTAAGACTTGTATCATATGATGAAGGTTTTGACATAAGAGGGTGAACGGGTGGCCCAGTCGTCTAAGGCGCCGCGATTCGCTGTGCAGAGTTGCGTCCCTTGGGCACGCCAGAAACCTATGATTGTGGGTTCGAATCCCGGTTCGCCCCGATTATGTTTCTAGGTTTGTCAGCACCATACCCGTGCTCGTGGGTTTCACCGAAGTGGTAAACGTCTGAGACATGCATCACTTCGGGCTTTCCTCCCACGTTAAGCTGACACGCCGCGATATAACTGGAATACAGTTAAAAGCGGCGTAAAACCCAACTCATTCACTCACTCATTTGACATAAGAATAGTGATGCTGGACAGAAAATACCCGTTTAAAACAAATAGCCTGGCGTCTGTAAATGACGACAAAAGATAGCGAACCTGAACACAAATGTCATTAACATGTAGTTCCTGTTCCTGGTGGAGTTGGGATACTTGACGTGATCTGATCTTGGATCTAGTCAGGTCCTGTTTGAAGAGAATCAACGCCCTCCGTGTGGCGATGCTATAGCAGGGAGTAGTATTCATGAATGTAAATTATAGTCAGGGACTCCCGCTAGTTAATGGAGCCCTGCATGTGTTATCAGTTAACACAGCGTCGTGGCACACTCGATCCGACTATCACAATGTGTGCAGTGTGTAACGGCAAGCAGATGGGAACTGTTATATAACGGGCAATATCTCAGTGATTTGATGTAATGTTTATTTAGTAATAAATATCTGCAGTCGACATCATTGTGATGATGTTGGCAGATACATTCATTACAGAACGATCTGTTCTCTTAGCCCACGTGCACAAAACGATAGTTTCTATATCTTACTTACGATCACACATGCTTACAATACATGACAGTGGCAGCATTAATCGCTTTGTGCACGTGGACCTTGGTATAATAACCATTCCTTTTGCAAGGATAGATATTTTAGTCTAGGATCATACTTGACGTAGCCTACTTCTCATGGTAGCCTCTGGGCTAAGGTTTAGTCTCTGAAAATATATAATTTTGATAGACTCAAATAATTTCATTTAACTTGAAATCTAGTCCCGGTGAGATGGGAGATTCCGAACCTGAATGGGGAAAATCTAGACTGGTTTTATTTCGGGATATAGCAGTAATGTAAGGGTTGGGCGAAAGAGAAAATAATTTGGTTCAGGGACTGTGAGACAGACTGGGGAGCCTCCCATACAGACCTTGAACCAAAAATATCCGAAACATTCTAAGTATAGTATATACGATAAAATGCTGGTCTATATTTCTTCTGTTTTATGTCTGGAAATGAATGGACTTCCTGAGCTCCTTTTTGTTGTCGTAAAAGGCAACTTGTATCTGTGTGAAGCAGGGACATTGCAGCACTTTATGTTTCTTAAATTTAAAACTGTATTACATTATACAATAGCTCACCTATCTATTAAAATAAATTCAATTAATGCAGTATTGGTCATTTACATAGGACATAAACAAGACAGTCACCGGCTAGTCATACGTGTTCATATCTGTGAACAATTTGTATCATTGCTGCGTATGTATATCCACAGTCAACGCGACAGGAATTGTATGTGCACACGACAAAGCACACAGAACGTACTTTTAGAGGATACTGATTTGTCCTAGTTTACTTGACATTCACCCTGTTTACCAAAATGTACTCTCCCATCAACAATATCGTGATCCGACACTCGAATGGAAAGCGGAAAGTTTTATCAAACCGGAATGTTTCACCAGTGGCGAAATTTTCCCCTTCCCTATAAGGTGTAACTGTCCTCGTTATAACGTTACATTGACATTGAATCGCTTTCAATGAAATTACCTCTTTGTGTCATTGAGTTTGATTTCATACTCGACTGAGCTTGTAAATTTTGTTTAATTTACATTTGCTGAGTAACTTTTGAGAAGTAATGTCAAGCGTTAAATTTGCCGAATGCGCGTGTGTTTTCAACCCGGTTCGAGAAACCGGTTTCTATATTTGCGTTCCTAAGGAAACCTGAATGAGCAAATTGATAGCCCATGCGTTGTCCACGTGCATGTTCGCAAATAGGATATCCAATCAGAATGGCCGAGAGATGTTTTGTTCGTCTCTGGAAAATCTTGATTGGTTAACATATAAATGAAGTTGACTGTGTCTTACTACAAGTATTCTCAAATTGCATTCGGGGAGACACAAGGTGGTAGAGAACGAGGAAGTCATTGTCCCTACGCAATTCACCAAGTGTGAACAGTCGATTTTGTGATCTCTACACCAGTTTGTATTCGAACACATTACTGATCTTTGGTAATAGATAGTGCAGCTGTCTTATCTTAGTTTAAAAATATCTCTCCAACCGAAAATAAGAGAATATTCAAGATCTTGTATACAGAGTTGAAGAAAGAGAAACTTGTACAAGCTTTAGACAGATTTTCATCGATTCCAGCCAAGTTACTCGCCCAAACTCGAACATGCTATCTTGCGAAGCCCTGCCCGAGGAGACATGCCCTGTTTTGGACATGGACGAAGATCAGTTCCTGAGGCAGAATTCTCCATACACCACAATGCGCTACGACGATTTGAAGCATTTATTTCATTCAGATAGCGAGTTCGCGCCAGCCCTTCACATAAAAACGCGATCTCTACAGGATCTCTTCAAATCCCGCTCCGTGGAAGAGATAGAAGAGCAGCATTCCGCCATTTCTGAAAAATGCCGTATGCCACCTCTAGTCGTCTGCGGCAGCGAGCTGAACGAAGCGCCGGTCCAATACGAAGTGAAAGGGCTACTTCCCCACGAGCTACCAGTAAAAGGTGAGGAATTGAGGGGATTTGGGGGTGTTTCATTCACTTATTCACATTATCACCCTTTTGCTAATCCGCATTCATTATGATAAGCGATTTCACTCGGAAGTTGACATAGAGCTAAGTTTGGCGCAATGGCGTTATGGCTTGACTGCAAGTGCGTTTCCACAAGGCCTGGATCGATAAATGAAGAGTAAGCCCTGACTAGGAATAAATCATGTCTCTCTTTCATGACTCATGTTAAGAGACAAGTAAATGAATTTGGTGCTTAACCCCCTGGATGCCATTTGGACATATATGTCCCTACACAAAACGCAGTTGCTGTGCCAGAGGGACATATATGTCCTTCTGAAACATCATGTTAAAAGAATTGAAATAAAATATTTTTGGATTACCCCAAGCCCATAGCAATTGCAACATCGCAAAAAGCAGTAAATTTCCATCACATCTGTGTCATTTTCACAACTCTACTGTCAATAAATAACGCATATGGAGTTAGTCAAATTCCCCTTGTTTACACTTTCGTTCAAATGTGCCGCCATTGAAATATTTTTTCATTTCGAACAAATTGCACCGACTGATTGAAAATCCATATGCGAAGGAATGTTTGAAACCTTCATAAATATTTTGGTTAAAAGATTGAAAATGGTCAAATATCTACGCATCTATGTATTAATTAGCTAATGAAACCAACTAAATGCCCAGTTTATCGATGGTGAATGGAGTGTATATATTTTTTTTACAGTATTTGTTCAAGGCCTCGTTCATCACATTCATATCAAAGCGTATTCAAAAACATTCATACAGTTATACATACCTACTGACATCTTTTAAAAACAGTCTGTGTGAAAATGTGCCACTCCTCATATTCATACGTATACTTAGAAATTCCATTCATGCTTCCTAAACCTCAAATTCTGCAAAAACACAGAAAAGGTACCGCAACTTTTTAGCCGAAACTTAAAACAAAATGGCGACCGAAGTTGAAGGTCGCTTAGCGGTACTTTTCATGAGAGAAAACAAGTCGAAAGCATGTCTCCCAGAAGAAACGAAAACGCACATGGTAAACTTTGACACACCCTCTTGGGTCTGTGTTGTTCATGTTTTGTGACTGATTATATGTAAGTCACGTTTTCGTATGTTTAATGAGGCGACCCAATTTATTACAAGACGTTGAAAAGTAGGTTGGTAGCAACGGCATATAGGATCTTATGCAGTGTCGAATATATTTATAATTTATTGGTTATATAAGTATATAAACAAGAACTATATGATGTTGAATTATGAACGTGTAAATGTCAGTTAAAATTACTTGAATACCGGTCCCCGATGAATCTATATATTTATTATTAGTTCGTATGTCTAAATATAAATAGCTAGCTCTTTGACAGTAGAATTCATTACTAAATTATTAATAATCTTTCGTTTAATTTCAGTATGTAAATTTGTATTCATGCGGTTTGTTATTGTTAAATACCTTATTATTATTGCAAGACTAAGTTTTTTTATTTCACGAATACAAATGAAGCTGTTACGGTTATCGACAGTTGGTTTCAATCATCCACCATAACGGGGATGGCAAGAGCGGCAAATTTCCGATTGTTCGTCTGGAACGAAATACCGTGACCCGCGACCTTTGACATGCAACGTCACAGAGGTTACAGGTGCCCGAGTAAAACAAAATAAAGTTTGATGTTGAAATCACCAACAGTGTTAAATATGACATCCAATGTAAATATTTATACATTATATGCTTTAATCTTTATCTTCGTGCTTTGTTTATCGAATCAGCGCGATGAACACAAATCAAATATAAAAAAAACGTTCGCCTCCCGCCGAGAGCATGAATATTCATAGGGATAAAAATAGCCCCATGTGACAGACGACAACATTGCGATCGAAGCTGTCCACCAAGAAGGAATAATGTCTGCGGTGGGAATTGGCGACGACGATGATTTGGGGGAGTCGGACTTCGAGTCGGACATATCCGTCGATTCTCTCGATTCCGACTGCGAGTCCGACTCCCAGGAAGAGATAAGCGGTAAGTAACATTAATTCATTTTCATTAATAATTGAGTAGGTGTACTGTCAGTGTAAAAGCAATGGCGGGAATAAGAATTTGTTATTTTTTTTAGCAATTTTCGAAATTGTAGGCTAGATCTACTCGTGATAGTTGTGATGTTTAAAATGTTAAAAATATCTACCATACCATGATAGTCATAGTAGAAACAGCAAACTACCTTGTTTAGTATTTCATGAAATTGATTTGAAAGAAAGTCTCTCATGGTAGTGAAGTTTTAACATGTCTACATGTGGCCTACACATGCTTTTGGTAAAGCTCAGTAATATTAATTGAAAAATGTCTTTGTTAAAAATTAAATTTATCTTGAAGGACACACTAGTTCACACTTTGGACATGAAGCCATATTTTTAAATGAGTATAGTCATTCCTAAAAAATCTAAAATGTCTAACTTATTTTGAAATTTTAAAAATAAATGAATATGTTTCATAATTTTAAATGTTAAATGTTATAAATATATCTAAATGATGTAGATTAACATTTACTATAACTTACTAAGGGGAAAGGGGAGTGGCATTGCACCAAGTGACTGTTGTCCTTGTGCCAATGGGTTGGGGGGTCAGCGCACTGACCAAATGTTCCCTCACCGGGCAGGTAGCCCGGAGACGTGGAAGCTATGGCCAATTTTTTTTTTTAAATTTAGCATCATTGTAAAGCTTTTGATTTTAGTTCTCACCCTTGAAATGTTTGCATCATGATTACACAATTGTTTCCCTGTGACTACTCAAGGAAGCCCTTCAGTTTTCATTAATACATTCATTCATGTGGAGCACATATATCCTAATCTTATCTTTATGTTGTAGTAATGAAGAATAAGTCTTTCAACATGTTTAATCTGTACCCAACTAAAAAGGTCACAGGTTATACATATTAATTACAAGCAAAATATTAGCCTTGACGAAAATAAAGTTGCCACATGAATATTGATACTGTGTTGTTAAATATTCACTAGATCTACAGGGTCTGAAACATTTCCTTCAATAAACTAAATATATGTCTATAGGTCTATATGTATATATATATGTGATATATTTATATCTTTATTTAAATTTAAGATTGATAACAAACATAAAATAAATTGGAGAAATGACAAACTTCCATGAAGCAATTTGCAAAAAGTATGTATCCAAGGGAGATACTATAGGACATAAACAAATCACATTATCTCCCCTTGATCACCAAGAAAACATGAGTCAGCAGTTGCTTAGTTCCAATTATGATAAGAAACATCCATGAAAATTTGCAAATTCAGCGATAGAAACTAGCATTTTAGTCCACTAGTCCATATATTATAATGATGAGTATAACAAAACCCTATAAAATTGGCAAATGTCTACTAGTGCTTATGATACCTTAACTATTAGACTGTTTTGCAAATATATAATCAGGACAATGACATGGAAATTAATACCAGCTCACTTATCTGTAGACAAATTTCCAAATCTTCCCATTGTTTTAACAGTACAATGGAATTTTACCCTGTCTTGTAAAGTATTTTAGTTCCAACCCTTCATTTTGATTTCGGTGTTAAGCATCACATAAAAAAATACTAAAGAGGCAAACAAATAAACAAAGCTAACCATGTCCTCACTATTGTGATTGCATTAATTTATCTGCAACCTCTTAATTCTTATGCTTTAATTTTCAACCATGTCATTATTCAAAATTATTTGAAAAGCTTTTAAATTTCATGATATTTGAATTTTGATAATACAGTTTTACTCTGTCCAGGATATGGTCTGTGAAGTGGAATGATTCATACATGCTTTTTCCATGCTCCTATGTTATTTGAATGCATTGACACACTACACATATCTATCTTTTAACAAGGAATCCTTTCCCTTAGCACTTTTATATGTGATTGAAAAGGACATTATTAATAAGAAGCATTATTTCAAATTTCAGATCACGAGGAAAATAACCAAGAAGGGGCAGGGGCCAAACCAATGGTCCGTGGCCCCTGGCCGCCCGTGCTGGACACAGACAGCTTTGACCTCGGCAACAGCATTGACTTTGCCGAGGAGTGCGGCCCTGTCAACCCTCCAGGTAACAAGAATTGATAAATACAAATATCATTAAGTGCATGAATTCATAATCAACATAGACAATGCCTGTCATCCAAAACTAAGTAAGGAATTGTTTCATATTTGGTGTCTCGTTTAGGTATAAATGTGGATATAAGTTGTATGATATTAAGATTATCATTACATGTACATGTATCAAATACAATGATATATGTCAGCATGATTTATAATAATTCATGTAATAAATTATGATATATGTTTCAGATTACCATGCCCCTCCTATATGCTATTTTGAACAGCAACTCAGAGGAGGGGATGGAGGTGTTGATTTGTTCGACCTTATCTTCTGAACAGCTATTTCATAATGTTTGATTTTAATGTTTCATACTCATTTCATTTGCCTATCAGACATTCCTGAACACCCATGGTAGAACGACCTCCCGTCTGGACTTCCACATGTCCCTTCTCCACTCACTCGTCGGGAACACTCTTGTGAAGAGGAGGACTGGCAGGCCCAGGACCCAGCCTCCTTCCCAACGACTGACCGGACGTCACTTCATAGAAGTGCTGCCTGAAGGGAAGAGGAAACAGTGTGTTCTCTGCAGAAAGAGACAGAGGACCTTCGATGGCTCCGCAGGAAAGGTCAGGACCTGGTGTCCTGACTGCCACATTGGTCTCTGTGCACGCTGTTTCCGTCAGTATCACACAGTTGATCACATTGAAGAGTGAAAGGCTGTGTGTACTGGCATATGATTGAACATGACTCATGTTCCATCATATCAACCCTTCAAGCAGTTTCCCCATCTGTGTGCTTCATTGTAAATAACTAGTGAGTGAGTAGGACTTACGCCGCACTTGCAATATTCAAGCGACATCACAGCGAGTTATTGTATCTATGTACTTATTGTAAATGTTTCATATGTGTGTATATATATTAAAGGATGTTTTTGTGAGAGAGTATGACCTAACGCCGTATTTGCAATATAACAGCAACATCATGGCGATTCATTGTAAATAGATCATTGTCTATTGTATATGATTATGTACTTATTGTAAATGAAGTGAGTTTGTCTTATGCCTCTTTAAGCAATATTCCTGCAAAAATATGTCAGTTTAATGTATTTATGTTCATATTATGTTCTATATTTATTGTACATGTAATTATTGTGTGTTTGTAAGGATCTGTTGATGAGTAGGACTTCCCACTGAATCTGCAATATTCCAGCAACATCGCAGGGAATCTTTGTAAATAGATTGTATATATTGTATATTGGTACTTACTGTAAATACTCAATGTGTATATATATATATTTCAGGATATATCTGTGAGAGTATGACTCCATGCTGTATTTGCAATATAGCAAATTATTTGCAATATAGCAGCAACATCACAGCGATTCATTGTAAATAGATTAAATTATATCAATGATATATATTATATATATTTACTGTAAATAGAAAATGGATTTGTGTATATATAAAAGGACATGTTGGTGCATGAGTATGATTCAACGCCACATTTACAATATTCCAGTTAATTCGTGGCGATTCATTGTATATGGATTATTGATCTTTTGTTCACAATTATGTACTTCATGTAAATAGAGTGAGTATGATTCATGCCGCTTTCAGCAGTATTCCAGCTAAGATGCGGCCCTTTTTTTAAACTTTATTGTACATAGTTTATATATTATTCACATGTAAATACTGTCAATAAATATGTATAGATTGAGAGATTTGTACATTTGTCTTATATATCTCATTTAAACAGTTACAAGATTTGTTACTGATGATACTTTTCAAAATATTAAATAAAGTACATTAAGGACAGTAAGTATAACAGTAAGGACCTTGGAATAAGAAATAATTTTCTAAAGTCTTTCCAATTACAGCCATATGAAAGTGTGGTTGTTCCTCTGGAATATTAACAAAATATTCAAAAATGTGTTCACAGATTATTCATGTATGCATATGTAAGCATACTTTTTAATTATTAATTGATATATGGAAATCGATTCTCCAATGTTATCATAACCAATGACTTACATACATCTACAGAACTAAAGACACTTTTTACTTCTAGTCCTTATTATGATAAACCCTTAAAAATTGAAAATTTCTTCTTGTCGGTATTATACCTTAACTATTGGTCAGTTTGGCAAGGACTATTGGACAACTGCCACGTCTTTGCCGTAACGTATTCTGATAAAGTTCGCTCAACAGACATAATGTAATCCATAAATTTTAGCGGTAAATGCCACGAGCAAGCGCGGACGTGAGAGAAGACAGCAAGCCGTGAACGTATTTGTTCCGGCTTGCGCAAATCTGAAATGATGCCCGTTTTTTTCGAGCGGGTAACCTGTGCCTTTTGGTGTTTACAAATTCTTCATAGATTACCTTTTTTTCAAATTCGTCAAACATTACCAGGAATACATGGTTTGATTTGTATTAAATGTCCGTTGAAATATACTTCGGATAATGGTATTCATAACAGCTAGTCTACCACATCGCCATGGAAATCATTCGTCAAAAAGTTCCCGAAAGAGATCAATTTTGATTATACTTTGAACATTTCATGACAAAAATCACATATACATCCATCTGACTGTAATAAATGTTAGCTAATACAGTTCCTTTGGGTTTGTGATCAGTGGATCCATGTCTTTAATACTGCTTGATGGTCACTCAGTGGCTGCTGATGTAAGCAGGGACGGAGATGGAAATCGGGAAAATATGACTAGATCGCAACGTTTGAATCTTTGATGAATCAATGCGTTTATCATCTCCAAATTACGACAGATTTCAGACCATCACTAGAACACTAAGCTTTGCTTACAGAATGATGTTCAAATGTACTTACTATCTCGGTTGCTGTCAAAGATGTTATAGTTAATCCAAAATCCCAAACACCGCTGAACACGGTCGACGACATTTTGAAATATTCAAAACTAAAGCTGTCGACAACACAAAAGGCATTTTCGTATTGTTTCTATTTCATGTGAATTTTTTTTATTGTTTTGTGTTTGTATAATCGTTATTAGTTAAAAATGAAAATAAAACAACGTTATTAAGGATTCATAAAGATACGAGACTAACTCGTTCAATCGTCTGTATGCAAATTTCGTCGACGTGCAAATGGACATGTCCGCCATCGCCTGGTAGGAGTATTTACAGTGAACTGATTGACATGAGCCGTGAGGAATACCTTTCGGTGCAAGAAAAGTAAAAATATGCCATGCATAAGGGCATGTTCTTTGCAGATTACATAGTATGATTTTCTTACTAAAAAATGAATAATGACCGAAAAGAAAAATAATTTATTGCAATGAAGAAAACACAACACCGCGTATAAGTTTTAGTTTGAAATGCGATTTCGTTCTCTTCTTTCTAAAAGTACGTAATTTTGAATTTCATAGCTAAGGTTACACGTTACAATTTATATCAGCATGTAGGTAATAAACCACAGATTTTAGGGATAAGATTTTATTCCTTACTCATAAATAGTTTTTTCATTAATATGCTTTTTCCGACATGATATGCACGCGATAACGTTACAATTTCACTAATTTACGGACAAAATGGCGTCACACATATTTGAACAAATTCGTAATCGACGATTTCGCGGACGATTTTCCACGGAGATGTTTCATTTTCAACACGGTAATCGGGAAACAAACGGGCTTTCGCATAATGTTTTTGGTTTTTATATTGGTGGAGATTTACAACCTGACAAGACGCTCAAAGTATCCAGTGCGCAATGTCAACAAAACAGCCGCCATGGACATTTTGTAAAAAATCGCATATTCAATACGTTTGCCGAGCTATAAACTACTGTTAATCACGTTAATGCTTTACAATATTTACATAGACAGTTAGGGAAATGGTTGTGCTGTTATAGTGTGAAATTTGAAATTTGTTGGTTTTATCGTTGTTACGTTACGTCGTTTTTAGACGAAAGTGTGCAGTTTCCAGAACGTCACTCGCAAATAAACTTGGCACAGCGATAGTACACAGGCTATTTTTAGGTGGCAGCCAGAGGGTTAAGGCGATTTCACACTCAGAACGATCATCTCCACAGAAACCTATTTTACCCTGAATATATTTTGAAATGCACTTGCAATCACTGTGTAGTTTTAGATTATAGAACAATGAAGCAGGTAATGTTATCAAGTTGATTATAATTTTTGCGCCAAAATGAACAATGATACCAATGAATAACCAACTTCGTGTACAAGGAATGTTGAACTTATCCACACATGAGTATCTGCACTGGTTTGGGCAACAGGTGGAAACAATCACTTCCACTTCACCGAGTGACCCCGCCAAAAGTAACCGTCAGTATGTAGCAGGACATTATTTCATTCGGGCAAATGTCTCTCATACGTTCAGCGTTGATTGTGTTACAATACCAGAGAACAGGCAGACACCGATTAAGAATGTTTGCACCCGACGACCATGTGTTACCAGTCGTGTAACACATGTTCTATAATAAACCCAATCAATATTTCACCCCGATGCCATATACTGAACAGCCGTTTTCGATACGAGATATCTTTATTCGTGAACTGCAAGTGCAAAAGGTCACCTTGAATTAGCCAATGGTTTGTTAAATGGTCTGCCCAGACTCACATACTGTACATATTGCTGAAGCATGATCCCCTACCAGTGTAGATACCAGTGGTCGCTGACGATTTTAAGTGGTAGGAGATAGTATTTCTTGTTAACGCAGTCAAGGGTATATAACCAGTGTGTCGATGTATTTCACTCATGACAGTGTAGGCTATTACCGTATTATCGGTAATATAGTGAGATAATACGGTAATAGGAGAACATTGTTCGGAATTGGAATATATTGGAGATACTGGGATTGTATTGTTGTCATTTCAGGCAAAACGTTAAGATTTTGTACTTTCCATCGTCCAACTAAGACGTATCTCATTTTTGCTAAGTTGTATTATTAGGTTTCATATTCATCTGAACTTTTTCATGCTTTGAGAAAAAATGTATTATGCTTTGAATATGTGTTGATATGTGATCATCGTTGTTGTTGTTGGTCACTTGTTCTGTGTATGCCGCCATTCTTGTGCAATTTCCTTTTGGAACAGATAGCTCGGGTTGAGAGATGATTGCGATTCGCTGACAAGGATCGCACGCATCAATCGCTCAGGGGAGACAACCCACCCAGTGGGTTTACCGGCAGTCCAGAGACACCTGGAGTACAGAACTATAGTATTCCTTTCTTACATGTAATTACTATGTATTCTGACGAATCATTGTTTGAAACATGTTATTTATCCTTACACTTCTGTATTATCATGCTTATCCATTTATGATTCTGACATGTGCAATAATGAACACAAACAAGCATTCACCATATGATAAAGCTTCCAAGACTGTAAATCTATTTGCATAAGACAATGCATTATTTCAGTATGAGAAAATACCACACAAGATATAATGTTAGAATTAAGTATTAAGGTATAATAATATCTACCAACTGTAGTATGTAGTTTTATTATAAACACACAGTTTTTTTTATCAAAATCGAATGACCGTATGGTTATGTCAAATACGTTCTATAAACAAAGTAAGGTTGTTTAACATATCGCGATATAGTTTAGAAACCCAGCACATGCCCATACTATGATCCCCTTTCAAGATTCCCAAGGACAGCTTCTAAGAATCACAATTGTTTTTCCACAGGGATATACGTAGACAAGCGGATCTGTCCTGGGTTCCGGTATAAGGTGCGGTATAACGGGAGAGACGAGGAGCTGTTCGATGGGGAGGCACGCACACTGCTCAGTGTGGGGATGGGCTACGGCAAGCGACTGACGTTTGAGGGAGAGTACAAAAACTACAATGACAACTATTTCTGGTCGGACAGCGACCCCGAGGGATTCGCTTTCAGCCTCGACGTCGTTTCTGTTGGCGATATGTTTGTTATTTACAGTGCGCTGTCTGAACCCGTGGGAAAGGTCACGGTCGAATCAATCGTGGGTCACCAGGAAGAGACCAATCAGGAGACTGGAACGGGATCCGTGTCCAAAACAGTTCGGGTCATGATGACCTGCAGTATTGATTATTATCAGCGTCATCAACTTTTAGACCTGCATTCGAAAGACTTGGAAACGATCGAAGGTGAGGTGCTTGCGGTGAAACACAAACGTGAAAAGAAGGCCAACATTACCTGCATCAAAAATGTGAATTTTTCCCGCCTAGGCGAATGCACGCTCCAAGTTGACCTATAACCTTCCATTTTCCTGTTAAGAATATCAATATTTTTTCACATCATTCTTTTAAAGGAATGTGTGACATTTCCAAAACGATATTGACGAACAACCCATACGTTTTTGACGATTATTTATATACCAAATACATGTGCTGATTCTGCTGGTGATATTTGTATATAAGATTCTATTACAGGATTTGTTTGTCAGATTTGGCCTTTTTGCCTATGACTGTCAATATTCAACAGGCCAAATTGGATACACCCAGACTTGTTGGTATTTTGCGGTTCTTTTTTGAAAACCAGTATTGCCATTTTGGTGTTATTGTTTTGTTGTTTTGTAATAAAAATTATGTGTGAAATCGCATTCAGGTTCTTTTCGTTATGTTTTTATCCCCCGCCCCAACGAAGTTGGCGGGGTATATTGAAATGGGTCCGCCTGCCCGTGCGTGTGTCTCGAAATCGTTTCCGGAGCATAACTCAGAGACCGTTAGATATTTCTCTACGAAACTTGGCATGTCTATCAGACACATGCGGAACTGGTGCCTTTTGATATTTAGGAATTTTAGAATCTTTTTTATTTTTTACATTTCCATGGCAATAAGTTGGACTTAGGTTCTATAAGGGTGGTGTTCATTTCCGGAGCGTAACTCAAAAACTGTTATTACTTTCTTACAAAACTTTGCATGTCTACTAGGCATATACTGAGCCTTTTGCTGTTTAGGAATATTTTTTTTAAAAATTATATATTTTTTTTTATCTTTCCATGGCAACAAGTTGGACTTAGGTAGAGTTAGGTAGAGTTCGTTTCCGGAGCATAACTCAAAACCCATTCAATATTTTCTAACAAAACTTTGCATGTCTACCAGGCAATGAACTGGTGCCTTTTGATATTTAGCACTTTTAGATTTTTTAATTAATTTTTAACGTTTCCATGGCAACAAGTTGGACTTAGAAAACAATAAGGGTAGGGTTCGATTCCGTATGAAATTTTCCATATCTATCAGACACATGCTGAATTGTTGCCTTTTGCTATTTATGAATTTTAGAAATTTATTTAAGTAATAACACAACTCGTTACAAATACAGTTACATATTCTATCATAAACTGCAGAAGGCAAAACAACACCAGTTATAACATTTTTAGTGCTGCAGTTAGGCCATTTACAAAAAGGTCCAGTGAACATAGTTCACAGAAGCTAATGCATTGCACACAACCGGACATGTCATATTGGCGGAGGATATGAGTATTTCATGTTTGTTTTATTTGAGTTCACGTTCTACTTGTGTAGGGGCCATAAACATGTCCGAGCCCCGTGATGGGATTCGAACCACGGACCTTCTGAACCGACGTCTGACGACTTGTCCACATGACCACAATTAATCCCGTCAGCAAGCTGACAACGTAAGGATGCCCACTGTGGGGTGTCTACACGCCCTGCTTCATGCGTCCCCTCATAGTAAGGTACTGAGACTCATATTGGTGAAATTTAATATGAATGTGCTCAGTCCCACATTGGGCGCCAATGTAGCGGCCAAATAGTATACGGGTCTCGTGAAGGGATTCGAACCGCGGACCTTCTGATCCGAGGTCGGACGCCTTGTCCACATGACCAAAGAGGTTGACAAGGTAAGGATGTCATCTGTACTGATGACTCCACGCCCTGCTCCTTGCAACAACATACTTGCTACAAATATGCAAGAAAAGGTCGGTGGTACCGCGTTTATGTCCTCAGATTGGATAAAAGGGGTATCGGATGGTTAAGAGGACAACAGAGTGTGACAGGCGGTTGACCACCATGGGCGACTGAGTGAGTGTGGTTTTAAGGCGCATTTAGCTATATTCCAGCAATATCACCGTGGGGAACACCAGAAATGGGCTTCATACCTAGAACCCATTTGGGGAATCGATCCCGGGTTTAAACGAGCGAGCGACGCCTTTAAACACTATGCTACTACACGGCGTATTTGTGTCTCTTACGACCTGATACATATGGTGTGTCGTACCCAAAACGGCGCTTGCCGTCGTAGACACCATCACCCTACAGCACGGACGTTTATAACCGGTCCGTTCCTGTAGTAACGTGGGATTGTTGATTTTTTAACATTATTAATGCAGCTATGATATTCCTGACTGGTCTTAGACCATGAACGCTCTTACCCCCCACATGACGGTCAACAGATTAACGTCCGGGGAACGACCACTATATACAATCTCTTATTCCTGTGTCCGAACGCACCATTGTCGGTTCTGGAAATACAGGATGGTCCAAAGTTTGTTTTCTCTGCGTGAATGTTGAAGTGAGCGTGAAATATAATAAAAGTCAAACCCAGGAAGTGGGCGTTTTGGTATGACTGAATTTGGTTTAGCGCCGCTTTGAATAGGTTCCGTTATATCACGGGGTGTTAGCTTAGCGTGAGATGGAAGTCAAAAGTGATGCAGGTCTGCAACGTTTACTGAGGACCCTGTTACGGCATATATTGTTGCTGGTGACAATATATGCCAACGTACAAGGCACACATTATCGCCAGTCGTCACATATTATCGCCGGCGACGCTATATGCCGGAGGTGCAGTAATTTGGTAGGCCATAGATATGATAATCTAAGATCTTTAGATGACTCGGGATATTGTTAATGGGGACACCATGATGAAGATGCTTTACATTATCTTTTCATTTGGCCTCAGTGTACGGTTATTAGATGTAATTGTTACTTCTATTAGAATGAATATGATCTTAACACTATTTTATATGGAAATACAAATTTAACTGAAAATATTAATCTATGACCAGAAGCCAGAAATGTTTTATATTATGAAATGGGTTGTGTTGGAATATACCTCTGCTACAGTAGATATAGACTGGTGATATACAAGTGATACACTAGTCAGACATCTATAGATTGCTGTATTATTATTTATCTGTTAAACTTTGGAATGTCTATGTACATGTATATATTTATCTATATGACACTTATTTGATGAATATCACTTCGATTTTGCTAAGTATGTTATAAACTATTCTATACAATATATGATGTAATTTATATTTTTTGGGAAACCCTGTTTATAAATCCCCATCCACTATACATACGATTGTAGAATATATATTTTAAATCATATATATGGCGCAACAGTTGTGTGCGTCTCAGTGAGTAGGAGTCAGACAGAGACAGGGCGACACACAGACACTGACACTTTCATGTCATGTCTGGTAATATTGGTTGCGGAAAAAACTAGAGATTTCAAGCTAATACAAATACATCTTGCTCTACTTCGGATAGATCTGTTCCACATGTTGACACCAGAAACCACTGCTCTTTTACTAGTTGTTCGGGAAAAGGGTAAGCATCTCCCGCCACTCATACAATAAAAAAAAGTGTTTATTGCTTGACGTCGCACAGAAGTGCTCTTGCCATGCGACGGCGTCTTCCCGAGGCAAGAGAGTTAACTGACTTTAAAACTCCAGTTTCCACCCTTGCTGAACAAGGCTGGAATTCCTGGGCTCGATCGTAGCGCCACCAGTGGTTATTACGAGTTGTGTCCCTTCTAAGCCTGTCCTATGGACCAATCAGATTCCAACTCTCGTATCACTTGCATTTGTTTCAAACAAAATAGCGGCGTTCAGACAAGACGATCTGATCGACAATCAAGATCTATATTGTGATAAAACGAATCTTACATATCGAAGTGCAATAAATCACACGAGCACCTTGATTAAAAACATGAAAAGATTTGGAAACTGTTGACAACGAATTGGCGTTGCACATGCTTTGCAAATCCTGCAATTGACCGACATCTGCACGACAGTTTACGAACCGGATTTCGATTTCGTTGTGCGATTTTGATTGGACTATGCATAGACTCGTTGGTCCAGCCAAAATGTAACTCCATAATAGCTGCCTAGTTCGGCAAGGGGGGAAACTGGGCTTTCACAGTCAGTTAAGTAGAGATACTCCAAATGCAAATACTCTGGTGGATGAAAATGCTTGGATGGATATGTGCAAAGTTACGCTGCCCGCCCTCGACATGAACAACAGAAACAACAATCTGCCACAGTCAGGCGGGAGGCCGATAATAATCAAGTGTTGTCCATATTGGTATGCATAAGAATTGTAACACGAGAAAGTTAGTTAAGTTGGATCCAAACATTATATGATAAAATACATATTGGTTTAGAACCAGTGTCGATTCTCCTTTTCCTACAATGCTGTGGATGAATAGTTCCTTTCTGTCTAAAGGATGTATATACATATGCATACATTACTAATACTTAATAATCAAATTACCTCACCCCGTGATCGTACGTATCCTTGGTAACATTGTTCTGTCATCCCTGTTAATCAAGATCGCGCATCCAGTCCATTATTGCTCTGTAAAATAGTTTCTTACGATGAGTCTGGTAAAACACATCATGGGGTTGACAGTCGTGCCCCTGTAAAAGTTAAATGTCTACTTTGTGTAACGAAATCCAAGATATTGATACTTTAGAATGCAAAATCGAACTGTTCTCAGCAGCTCATGGAAGTAAACAGTCTTCAAAAGATTAAGCAACCCCCTGCCATTGGTTACCCCCAAAATAACCAAAACCCACTGTGTCCGTACCACAGGTGCAACAAGCGTGACAGAGTAGTCCAAGGCGGGCGTTGGTAATTATGACTGTCTCTGTCCACAGGAATAGGCAAACAGGAAACATATACTCACACGCAAAAGAAACGCATGTCGAGTATGCAGTATACATGTTATTTATTTTAAACATTAAAGACAAGAAATACTAATAGGGCAAGATTGACAAAAAATTGACTGAAGACAGTTTAATGGATTAAAAGGCAGATGACATAATTGTTGTTTTTTTCAAATGTTAAGGGCATACACAGTTTCGGGTCAATACCCAAAATGTCAGTCAATACCTCGTGCGACCACCATTATCATTGATCACTTCCACACATCTCCTGTACATTGAGTGGATCAGACGATTTGTGAAGGCCCTAGGGATCCTCCTGCACACATCCAGAGCAGCTGTGCGTAGTTCATCGGTAGTTGTAGGGACTGGGTGCGCACTTTGCAGACGCCTTTGAACCTCATCCCACAAGTGTTCGATGGGGTTCAGATCAGGGCTGAGGTCTGGCCACGGTAGAACACGGATGTTGTGTTGTTGCAGAAAGGCCATGGTAGCTCTGGCAACATGGGGACGAGCGTTGTCCTACTGGAAAATGTGTTGTTGATGTTGTGCAAAAAATGGAACAACGTGGGGTCTGATCACTTGGTCGATATACCGCTGAGCAGTGTCGCCGTGTCCCCGACCTTGACCAACATTCAGAAAGCACATTGGTCCAAGTCTCGCATTTAAGTCCAATCCCTGCCCAT